CCTGTCCATGGGGCATGGATAGGAGATGGATCCAGGGGCCGCAGCAGAGGGGGCTCACCCCCTTTCCCATTCCAGCCCCGGTCGAGATGTGTCCATCCTGCATCCCCCGCTGAGCTGGCACCATGGGTCCGCTGGACACACTGACTCTGGCCGTCTACTCCCTCACCATCCTGCTGGGTGTGCCAGCCAACGCCTTGGCGCTGTTCATCTTCTACCGCCGCGCCCGCGCCCGCCTCACCCCCAACCTCATCTACATGATCAACCTCTGCGTCTCCGACCTGGCCTTCATCCTCCTCCTGCCGCTGAAGATCCTGGAGGTGATTTGGCCTGACTGGTCGCCGCCCAGCTTCCTCTGCCCTTTCAACAGCATGGTTCACTTCGGCACGCTGTACACCAGCGCCTGCTTCCTGACAGCCGTCAGCGCTGGGCGCTACCTGAGCGCCGCCTTCCCCCTCCACTACCGGCGCTGCAAGAAGCCCCTGTACTCCTGCCTGGTCTGCGTGGCCATCTGGTGCCTGGTGAGCTTCCACGGTGCCCTGCTGGCCATCCTGGAGAATTCGCTGGGCGCATGGTTCACTTCGGCACGCTGTACACCAGCGCCTGCTTCCTGACAGCCGTCAGCGCTGGGCGCTACCTGAGCGCCGCCTTCCCCCTCCACTACCGGCGCTGCAAGAAGCCCCTGTACTCCTGCCTGGTCTGCGTGGCCATCTGGTGCCTGGTGAGCTTCCACGGTGCCCTGCTGGCCATCCTGGAGAATTCGCTGGGCGCCAACGCCACCCTCTTCACGGGCAACGGCTCTGCCTGCTACCAGGAGTTCAGCCCCGAGCAGCTGGCCCTGCTGGCTCCGGTCCGCTTGGAGCTCTCCGTGGCCTTGTTTTTCCTGCCCTTGGTGATCACGGCCTTCTGCTACGCCGGCTGCATCCACGTCCTCATGAAGTCCCATCTCCACCAGCAGAAGAAGCGCCGGGCGGTGCGGCTGGCCGTGGCCACACTCTCCATCTTTGTGCTCTGCTTTGGCCCCTACAACGTCTCCCACGTGGTGGGCTACGCCCGTGGCGAGAACCTCTGGTGGCGCAAGGTGGCGATGCTGCCCGGAGCCTGCAATGCCTTCTTGGACCCGCTCATCTTCTACTTTCTCTCCTCGACCAAGGACCACAGCCCGGCCTGGGTGTGGCGCTCGGTGGGGCAGCGCTGCAGCTCCTTCTGGCAGAAGATGACGCTAGGTGACAGGGAGGCGGGCAAGGCGCAGCCTGAGAAGGGCGGTGCATCCTGGGGGACCACAGGCCCTGGGGTGGGGAGCTCCAAGTAACCATGGGACACAGACACCAACTCCGTTGGGACAAGATTTAGATGGGCGGTGGGACCCGGCTGCTTATGGGCCTTAAAAATTCCCCATGGGGTTAGTAGTCCGATCTTGGAGAGGACGCAAGACCAACGACCAGGAAATTCATGACCATTACAGATTCCCCGTGGGATTAGTAGTCTCTGCCCTTGGATGGCACATGAGTCTAAGAACTATGCTTGGGCCAGGACATAGCCCATGTGGGACAAGGAGGTGTCTGGTTTTGATGGTTTCGATGTCACCATTTTCCGTTGAGACATAAGCGCATGGTTGTGATTGTGACCATTCATGGTCAGATGGTCTGAGGCCATCCCAGACTCGGATGTGCAGTTAGTCACTGACAGAGCAGGGTCAAGATTTTTTGCCAAGGTGTCCTCACAGGTCTCTGGCTCTGTCGATGATGATCCAGAAGACTGCTTGCAGGCGTGCTCGGTGGTATGTGCCGTGTCTGCACCGCAGACCCCGAGAGAGCCCCCAAAGACCACAAGCCACATAAGGATCGAAGGTGTATTGTTAAGGGAAGTACATAGCTGCCAGTAGACTCTACCGAACCACTACACATTCGTAATAATGGCATGGCACAATCAATGGGAAATTTCCACTGCCCCCTAGATCATCCAAAGACTGCCCCCCCCAAGACACCACCTTGTATACAGGTTCAAACAAGTTACGCAGCACTCCCGACGTATCACGTTGCCACCCTCCGACGCTATTAGAGACCACCCATCACCCTGCACCTTGGGTTTGATTGGATCATCTCAGTCAATCACATTTTACACCTTCTCCTGAACCTGGGCCGGTATCTGTGAGGAGTGGGTACCAAGGTCTTCTTTTAATGAGCTGTTGGTACCACGTGCTTTGCACTTATGACCAGTACCAATGACTGTTCTACACCAGGGCCTATTACCAGTTAGTGTTTTGCACCCTCAGCCCTGTTCATGCCAAGTTCTGTGAACTGGGGCCTGCTTCTTGCTCATAGCTTAGCTTTGCTTTATGTTAGCCAGGATTTGTCTATTGTTAGCTAGGCCTCAGGCCTCAGACCAGGCCTGTGCTACATGGGCTTTTGTTTTAGGCCCTCATACAGGCTGGAAAGGAGGACAGGGATTCCAGTTGGGGCGTGACAGTTGGGTGCAGATTTCATGGGGATCATTACGTACCCCATAGGCCAGATCCCACAATGAGAGTGCATCTACACAGCAGTGTTATTTTGGAATAACGGCTGTTATTCCGAAATAACCATGAGGGCATCTACACAGCAATTCCATTCTTTCGAAATGGGCAGCTTATTCTGACTTCCGTAAATCTCATTCCACGAGGAATGACGCCTCTTATGAAATAGCTATTTTGGAATAGCAGTTGTGTGGACGTTCCACTGTGGCTACTTCGAAATAGCTCCTCCCCAGGGCCATTCAAAGTAATTACTTCCCAGCATCTTCTGGGGCTCTAAATCGAGGTAGCACATCCACATTAGGGGAGTCTCCCTTAGCCTCATTTTGATGTGCTATTTTGAAATATACTATTTTGGAGTGTTTCTTCCGGAATAGCTTATTTCAAAATAAGCATGCAGTGTAGACGTACCCTGAGAGAACTGGATATAGGGGATGACCCAGACTCCCTCGCCCCACGATCCCCTGAAAGAGCGAAATAAACTGTATGGCTAACCCTACTACTGGGGAATAGACTAAACTCCAGCCTGTAGGTCTGCACTGGGTGAGTTCTATGCTGCACAGTTGTTCCCCAGGTGCTCCACCCCAGCAGTGGCTACATTTTAGCACTGAGGTTATGATTTCTTGGTTGTAAGGCCCTAGAGCTGTGATTCCCAAACTTTTTGGCATCATGCCCCCCCTTTTTGATTTTTGAAAAACCCTCAACCCTCCCCCCTTCCAAATAGCAGCAAAACTTCTTGAGCAAAAAAAAAACCAAGGAGGGAGGAAATGACACGGGGCTGAAAAACAGTTGCAGCCCCTTAAACATGACTTTTTAAATAGAAACCCTTTAGATTGCAAAATTTCAACTGGCACTAATTCATACTAAGCATGAACAGAATCAGGACCCTAGGCCTTAAACCAATTAATGTGGCCAGGCCCTCTGAAAATTCCAAATGTATTCAACAGCAAGTGCCAGACCGGTCTCTTCCCTCACTGACTCCACTCAGCCAAAGCTAATAATGGCTTTCCACGGGTGGAACTTATGTGGTATGAAGAGGTGGCCAGCCTACCTTTAGTTCTATTAGGGATCTTGAAACAACTATTAATCTAGACTGAATCTTCTTGGGTTGACCAAGGGAGGGAGGGGACTGGGTTGCCTCACGCCTCCCCTGGAATGTCTTCATACACCCCCAGGGGGGGCGCGCTCCGCAGTTTGGGAACCTATGCCCTAAAGAAATGTCCGAGGTCACCACGGTGTCTGCGTAACTTGAATGTAGAAATATTCCAAAGCACAATGCAAGGGCACTCGTAAACCTCTGGGTGAGGAAATTGCAGCTTCAGAGCTGGATGGTTTGTGTAAACTCCTGCAAGCCCCTAGGACAGAATAATGCAGAGAATTACCCAGGGTTAATCAATGAATTGGTACAAATAGATGCAATGGGGCCAGACCCCCAGCTGGGGTCTCACCGCTTCACCCTACTGCTGACTCTTCTGCCCATGGGCCGTCCATTACCTCCCACTGACTGACTGAATAAATAGCATTTTCCCAGCTCCAATGGGGTCGTTAATTATTAATATCGTTACTGTAGGTATCATTGGACTGAGGTCAGATCCCCACTGAAATGAATGCTCTGCACTTATGGCATAATGGGGCTGGGTTCTATCCCAGCCCTGGGATGACAGTGGGGTCTAGTGGTTACCCTAGTGGGGTCTAGGGCTGGGACGCAGGACGTAGGTTCTATTCCCAGCTGCTTGTGGGACCCTGGGCGAGTCCCTGCTTCTCTCCGAGCCTCAGTTTCCTTCTATCTAAATGGGGAGAACGGGAGGTGCATTTGATGCAGCTTCTCCTATGCAGGTTCCAATGGGCCCATTTGGTCTCGGAGCCCCAAGCCCAGTCTGGCTGCTCCCTCGGCCTGGCTTTGGCGCTACCCAGGCAGGTAAGAATCAATGACCAGGCACTCTTGGGTCTGCCCTGTGCCAGTCTCCCCTCTGATTACGAGGTGGGTATCAGGTGAGAGTGGTATTGCCCAGCCCTGTGGGCCGGGGCACTGACATTGCTGCTGTCGGAGCGGTGCTGCTGGACAGGAGGGGAAGGATTTGGACCAGTCCACACCCTCCTTCCCCCCATCCCTCCCTTTGGTTTCCTTGGGCTTGCAAAAGCAGAAATTGCTTGAAACCACCAAGCCTCCCTGCGGTTTGGAGCAAGATTGGACGTTTTCCAGGGCTTACCAGAAACTGCTGTGGGAGGGGGTGGTTGGGCACCTAGAAACTGTCCAGGGCACAGTTCCTAGGAACTCCTAGGAGGGGAAGCAGGGTGGAGTTCCTAGAAACTACTGGAGTCCTGAGCTTCTCCAAAATCACCAGAGAGACAAGTGGGTTTCCTCGAAACATCACGGCAGCTTGGAGCTCCCTAGAAAGGATGATGGGGGCTCGGGGCTCCCTTGAAACAATCAGGGGAACCGAGGCTCACCCAAAATGATCATGGGGGTTCGGGGTTCCCTCAGAATGGTCACAGTAGCCCAGGTCCCCCACAAAACTTTCCAGGGTGACTTTGGGCTCCCTTGAAACTATCGCTTCTGGGCTCCAGGCCCCCTACCAACATCAGAGTTATCTCTAGGGTCTGTAGAAACTGTCAAGCAGCACAGGGCTCCCTGGACACTATTGTGGGTGGGCACAGGGCTCCTTGAAACTGTCACAGCTCCTCAGGGACCACCAGCTTCACCCCCTCAATGTCTCTCTGCCTCAGCTTTGTAGCCAGCTGCAGCTGACACGGGGTCAGAGTGTGGGGAGGAGGGAAGGAGGATGGACATCTGAGGAGAGGGACCTCTGCACTGAGGACCCTGGGGCCAATAACCCCGTCTCTGCCCTGGCTGCTCAGGTCTTGCCGAGAGACCCCACACGTCCAGTTCAGCCAAGGAGCGCCGAGGGCGGTTTGTCTGTGCAAGTCTCTGTGTCCCGGGACACTGGCAGGGGGGAGGGAGTGCTGGCCTCTAAGCCACCAGAGCAAAACTGGAGGGGAAAGACCCCGTGGGCCATTCTCTGACCCTCCAAATCTGCCAGTCTCCAGCCCTGGGCCAGATGGGAGCTGGTACCCCCAATAGGGGAAAGACCTCGTGTGCTATTCCCTGCCCCTTCAAACCTGCCAGTCCCCAGCCCTGGGGCCAGACTGGAGCTGTCACCCACTAGAGGGGAAAGGTCCTGTGCCTTCCAGGTTGGGGAAGAGCTACTCATAGGGGCTCACTGGGTGTCCGTGCAGTGCCCGGCCGTCTGGTTTCGGGAATGCCCAGAGCCTAGCTCCCACAGTCAGTCCTGTACCCCTCAGGGTGGGGGAAGGGACACTAGTGGGCTGATCCGTGTCAGAACAGCTGAGGGTACAAGAGGTCATGCTCCAGTGAGAGGAAAAGGAACCAAGGAAAAGGCAGTCTGGCTTTGCTTCCTACAGCTCAAGGGAAGTGGTTTTAGTTAGAAGAGAGCGGTGCCAGGTGCCAGGACTTCTGGGTTCTCTCCTCAGATCTGGCAGGTGAGTGGGGTATAGTAGTTAGAGCACGAAGCATGAGATCTATTCCCCCGCTCTGAGGGAGGGGATGGAGTAGGATCTAGTAGCTAGAGCAGGGGAGGCTAAGGGCCAGGTTCTATCAGCAGTGAGGAGAGGGTGTCCAGTGCTTGAACCTTGTTCGGGAGGGTGGGGAGTTTCCAGGCACAGATGTCAGTGAGGGCTACAGAGAGCTGGGTGTCCGGTCACCTCTTCCTGCTTCACACCTGGGTTTATTTTGGGCTGCAGAGCATCATTCCTATCAGCTGTGACATCGACCCTGCTCAGAAAGGCGACTAATTTAACCAGCCAGGGCCACAAAAGACAGCATCTGTGCACAGAGCACTGGTCCGGGAGAGAATCGGAGACTGAGATGGGGTAAGAGACTGCACTGAAGTTATCTACCTGTCTATCCATCCCCATATGCCCTGCTGTATCCATCTCCAGCCTCCTCAGCTCCCCCACTTCTGAGGGGCTGGGTCCTGGTAGGTTTTATAGATCAGGGAGAGACCAGTGAATGAAAAGCTCAGAGGTGAGATGGGTGGGGAATGGGGCCTGGGTCTTTCCCTCTGAAGGGGACACCAGCTCTGATCAGGATCAGGACCAGGGTCAGGGATGGTCTGGCTCCGTGCACCTTTTCCCTACGAGCCAGGGTTCTGTTCCTCATAACCCTGGGAGATCTCTGTGTTGTGGTTTCTCTGGGAACACAGGAGCTTGCATTTCTCAGTTCATGGGAGTGGCAATTGTTGTCCTTGTGGTCACAGAGTGGCATCTGCCTGCCCTTGTCCCTCTATCTGGATTCCACCACTAGGCCTCAGTGACCCAGGCACAAGTCACTAGACACGAACAGAGAGCTGGGTGCCTCTGCCCGTTGTTCTTTGTTTCCAAGGGCCATTACCTGGAAACAAGTGCAGCTGCTCGTAGACCCTCCCGCTTTAACTACTAGACCTCACTTCCCTCACAGAGCTGGGAATAGCAGGTAACTAGAGCCCCCTAGAAGTGAGACACGTGAGGGGGAACTCTTGGTGCTCCTGGCACTCCGTGGTGAGGAGAGGCGCTAGGCTGGGTGGATTTATAGTGGCTCTTGCAGAACACAAAGGCTACGTCTACACTGCAGGCTTTTTGCGCAAGAACAGCTGTTCTTGTACAAAAACTTGCTGGGTGTCTACACTGCGCACACGTTCTTGCACAAATAAATTTACAGTACAGCGTCAGAAAACAGAGCTTCTTTTGGAAGAGTTATTCCTCTCCCCACGAGGAATAAACCCTCTTGTGCAAGAGCTCTTACACAAGAAGTCAGTGTAGACAGACAACATGATTTTCTTGCGCAAGAGAGCATCCACACTGCCATGGATGCTCCTGCACAAAAGCACACCTCTTGCACAAAAGTACATGGCAGTGCGGACGTGCTCTTGCGGAAGACTATTTGCACAAGAACTCTTGCGCAAAACAGTTCCTGCGCAAGAAGCCTGCAGTGTAGACGTAGCCTAACAGTTCTGGGGAACACTTCAGGGGGTAGCCGAATTAGTCTGTACAGGATAAACTTAAAAAACATCAAATGGTCTGGTAGCACTTTAAAGACTCACAAAACATGTCGATGGGATCATGAGCTTTTGTGGGCACAGCCCACAGTTTTGCTCTAGGTTGGGAACTACATAAACACTGTTGAGTGCTGGAGCGGAGCTGGAAGGTGGGGTCACGATGGATTGAGGCGCCGTGGGGTGCTGGGCCCAGGGGCCGGCTGCCTCAGCTAAAGAGTGATCCATGACCAGTGGCCAGACTCCGGCAGGGGCTCCTGGCTCAGACCTGCTCAGTGTGGAACTAGATGACCATAACAGTCCCTTGGAATCTGTGGGTCCCCTCCCCCACATGCGATAAAAATCTGAGGGGGGAGCAAAAGTGTTTTATTTCCCCACTTTCACTCACTGTTTTAATTTTCACACCCTCTTTTTTTTGGGGGGGGAAGGGGAAGTGAGAATAAAAAGCTGAGGAGGAAGCTGAGACAAAATGTGGAGGTGCTTTGGATTTCTTAACCCCTCCCCCCCAATTCTTGGAAAAACTTTCAAAACAGAGAACAAAGTTTTGAGGGCTGGGGGAGGGCGGAGGGGTCAGTGCTTTTGAAAATTTCCTACCACGTGGAATTATTAGTAATATTCTTATCTGTCCTGTGGTAGGTTCAAGGGGTCCCCAGGCTGGCCCAGTCCCTTGGGCTAGGCGCTGTTTGTTACTAGTTCCATTCATTGGGTGCATTATGGGGGTGCCCAGGAGCCCTAATTTTGGACCCAGACCCCATTGGGTCAGGTGCTGCATGCTCTTAGTGCTGTGCATTATGGGAGCACCCTGGCACCCCAGCCCTGGCCCAGGGCCCCTTGTGCTAGGCTCTGTACCCCATTATTGCTATATAGTGGGTGTGTCACGCTATCACCCAGAGCCCCAGTTCTGACCCAGGACTCCAGGGTGCCAGGCGCTGTATGTTATTAGTGCTACTTAGAAGGGTTACAGTCTCACCCAGCTGCCCCCAGGCCCCGCTGTGCGAAGAGCTGCACAGACAAAGGGCTGCCCCGGTCACACGGAGTTTGTCTACAGACTGATCTTGAAGGAGACTCATTAACGCCCCCGTCTCTCTCTTTACAGTGAATGACCCTGGCTGGGACCCCGTCTCTAGCTCCACCCCAAGGCTTAGTAGATTCCTGGTGGTGAGCTACTGGCAGCCTGGCCCTACCTCCATCTCTGTCCCTAGTGTGTGCCCTGTTGCTATTGGCAACCAACCCTACCTCCATAGCCAACGGCCTAGTGTGTGCCCTGTTGCTATTGGCAACCAACCCTACCTCCATCCCTGTCCCAAGCACTAGTGTGGGCCTGATTGCTATTAGCAACCCAGCCCTACCTCCATCTATCCTGGCCCCAAGGCCTAGTGTGTGTCCCGTTGCTATTAGCAACCCCGTCGTACCTCCATCCATCCAAGGTCTGGTGGCTCCCCCCACCCCACTTCTATCCCTATCTCAAGCCCTAGCGTGTGCCCTGTTGCTATTGGCAACCCAACCCTACCTCCATCCCTGTCCCAAGGCCTGGTGAGTCTCTGCTGCTATTGGGGACACCTTCTCACCTCCATCCCTAGCGGATCCTGTGTTGGTATTGGCAACCCAGCCCCTGCCGCCCCATATTCCTGCCAGG